GCTGATTTCTCAACCCAGATCCTCAAACCCAGGAGGTCTGCAAATGACATATACCAAGCTCTGAAAGAAAATGGATGCCAACCAAGAATCTTATATCCAGCAGAATTAAACTTTAGATTTGAAGATGAAATAAAAACCTTCCATGATAAACAAATATTAAAAGAATTTGCAACAGAAAGCCTATACTTCAGAAATTCTCAACAAAATGTTCTGTGAAGATGAAATGTGAAAAAAGTGAAAACCCACAAAGAGAAGAACTACACTAAGTGAATAATAGTCAATCAAAGAGAAACTAATTCAAATTAAAAACTAGAAATAAACCAAAATGACTGGGAACACAGATCATATCTCAATAATAACCCTGAATGTTAATGGCCTAAACTAATCAATCAAGAGACATAGATTGGCAGATTGGATTTTTTTAAAAAAGACCCAACAATATGCTGTCTCCAAGTGACTCACCTCATAGGCAAAGACATTCACAGACTGAAGGTGAAAGGTTGGGAAAAACCATCACTCACATGGATTGCATAAACAAGCAGGGGTTTCTATCCTCATATCAGATGAAGTGGACTTCAAGCCAAAGTTAACCACTAGGGATAAAGAAGAACATTTTATACTGCTTAAGGGAATAATATACATCAACAAGACGTAACAATCTTAAATATTTATGCCCTAAACATCTACATAGCATCCATGTACATCAAACAAACCCTTCTCAATTTCAAGAATCACATAGACCACAACACAATAATACTGGGTTAGAACACTTTTATTCATATATATGAATACAAATGTGAATATATATGTAAAAATACACATGACAATATTTAAATGGATATGGATATTTACACTTTTGGTAAGATATAGGATATGATTATGTAACTGAATATATATGAAAATTTATGGGTAGGATTTGGGTTGCCATTAGGGTGTGTGTGTGTGTGTGTGTGTGTGTGTATCTATATCTATATCTATATCTATCTATCTATCTATCTATATATAAACATATACAGAATATATATGTGAAAATATATATGGATATTTAGTAATATAATTTTTGTTTAAAAGGCTCATGATTATTGATAGGGTTAGGTTTAGTTCTGAGTTACAGCTTTGGTTTAGGAGATGGGTTGCCTTTGGAACATATATATCAATATATATGAATATAAATATGAATATAGAGGTAATATCATATACCAAAATTTATATATATATATATATATATATATACTTTTATCTATGGATTTTTTAAGGTAAGCAATATTGTTATGTGTGAAATCTGGGTTAAACCTATGAAAATGAGCATATATATAAAATATCTTTGGGTTTTTATGTGAATTTATGAACTTATATCCCCAAATACATAGGTACATTCATGTAAAATGTTATGGTTTATATGAATAGAGGTTTCTCAGAGGTGTATTGGTAGGTATAGGACTTTTATAGAAAMAATAGGGTTAGTTTAGGGATTGAACATTTTTATGTATATATAGAAATACAAATATGAATATATATGTAAAAACATACATGTTTAAATGGATATAAATTTGTATATACTTATTTTTCTTTTGAGATAGATGTTTACAGTTTGTTTTATTTTATTTATTTATTTATTTTTAATCTACATTTTAAAGTTTATTTGGCTATCTATTTATACACAACCTTGTAAAAGAGTTTAAAGTGGTTTAAGAGGATCCATAACATACACCAAGAATCTAATAAMAGATCAGGAAAGAAGCATATACACACACCAAAACAAAACTTAATATAGTTCTATTCATTTACTCTGGGTGGACTACAAATTTGGTCCTAAGCTTTCTAGTAGGCAATCAGAAAAGGCAAGTTAATTAGTTCATTTAGTGTCCATAAAACCAAAACAAACTAATCACACAAGTGGAACACTGTTATTTCTAATAGTAAGTCCAGACCAAAATTTCTCTTGAGAGGCTTCATAAACAGACCAGCACATGATGTTATAGTCAGTGTTCTCAACAGCAATCCAATGGGAGATACAAAGATGAATTTCACAGGACTTCTTCTTGGATTCCTCAGAATAGGCAGATGGCATCACACCAAGTTGAAGATCAGGAAAAACACTGTTATTGTGAATTTGACAGTTTTGGGTGTGTCCAGTATGATGTAGTCCAGATAGTCCACTCTTTAGCTAGGCAAAATCAGGGATACATTTTACAATCATTCCAGTCCTCATGATGGTTTTGGAGAAACTGCAAAACGTCCAACACTGTATATGCAATGTTTAGGAATAAGGTGAGTGTGTTTCTTCTTGACAGAAAAAAGACGGCTTGTTGGATCCCCAAAAGTCCACAAATCACTCAGAAAGGTTAAGAACAGATTAAAATTAAACAGGTTATAGAATTAAACAGACCAAAAATTCTGCATGCTATTCTGAATACTTATTTTTTTCATCTTAGCCTAAGTTTACCCCTTCTCTGCAAAAAGAACCTTTTTTGTTTCCATTTAATCCACGGCTTGGGCGGGTGCTCCTGGGTGGTGAGAAGCTGTCTCTTGGCTGGTGCTAGAAACTCAGGCGCATCTTGACGTTAGGAGAACACAGAGGAGCCGCTCCAAAGCCGCCGGGCCCGGGGGTTCCTAGTTACCCTTGAGTGTGAGCTTTATGAAGAGATACTCGCCCAGACCAGCATCCTGGCCGGCCAGCCTGCGGAGGTTGGTCAGATGCTCACCCATCTTTTTGATGAGTTGCACTTCCTGGGCTAAGAAGTGGCTCTCCAGGAAAAAGCAGAGTTGGGGGTCTGTGTTAGCCAAACCCAGGGCATGCAGATCCAAAAGGGCCTCGTTCCGATTCTTCTCCAGGATCAGGGCAGCTTCCATGGCTTCCAGGCAATCATGCCACTCAATTTGGGTCAGCTTCTGCCCATCCTGGCAGAGGGAGCGGTCGCTCACCTGGTTTTGCCTCAGGAGGCGATGGGCACCTTCTCGCTTTTCCTCAGCCAACCTGAAGAAGAAACCGCCCTCCAGAGCCACACGGTTTCCTTCGAAATAGAAGCCCAGAGAGAGGTAGGTATAGGAGGCCTGCAGGTGCATGCTGATCAGGCGGTCAATGGCAGCCTGCACCTTATGGGTATAATCCTGGTGGCCCTAGGTGCTCATGGCTGCGTGGCAAGACCGAGCAAACGCAAAATATGATGCTCCAGTTTGTTTTAATAATAGTTTATAATTATGTAAATTAAAATGTATGAGTAGGAATTTGGTTGCTGTTAGGGTATATTCATATATATATGAATGTATATAAACATATGTAGGAATATATATGTGAAAATACATATGGATTTTCTGTCTAAAAATAAAAAAATTTTAAAAGATATTTATTATAAAGGTAAAATTTACATCCAAGAATCTTTAATAAGGAATGCTATATATTGCATTATAACAAGATGCATATAATATTTAGTTTGCTCTCTGGTTTCTGTTGGCTTAACCAAAGAGAGATATCAGAGAGCTAGTGTATTTATTCCCCATCTCTTCACCTTGATGCAATTTGGTTACTGGCAGAATTCTATGGTCATATTTCTTATAAGGGAGCCTAACTTCCATATTGTAAACTCTCATATGCTAGTTTTTCCCCATATCCCTTTTAGACCTAAAGGTGGTAAAAGCATATAATTGCTACTAGACCCTATACCTCATTATTTTCTTTTAACTTTGCCTACATCTCTGTAAATTATTCCTTCTGTACACTCTTTTTGGTAACACTCTCTAAATATGCTTTTTGTTTCCTGCCAGGATCCTGACATGAATAGATAGATTTAATAAATTTTGATAAGGGAATAAACCCTAGAAATTAATTAAACCAAGAGTTAGAAAGGTAGTTTAATAAAAAAAAAAGTTTCTCTAAAAATAAATTTTAAAAACCTTACATTTAAAACCATTATAAATCATAGAGAAACATTAGAGCACATTAGAGTGTGGTCCCCTAACACCTGAAATAATTTCCATATTACCATACAAGTTAAAACAATATCAATGAAATGCCCTTCAGGATTTTATAGAATCTGATGACACAGTAATAGAGAAATTGTTTTGAAAAATAAAAGGTCAGATACCAAAAAAGGTTAATATGTTTAATCTTTGTACTAGAGTATCAATATCAGATATTGTTTTACAAAATATAAATAATAAAAATTGGCATTAAATTAAACCCACAGAGAATGGAATAGCTTAAAAATAAATTCCAACTATTATAAGAATTTGGTGTGTGCAAGTCAAAAGCAACATAACTACAGGGCTCAACATGAAGGATTTAGATGAGGTGGAAATCTGAGATATGTCATCTGTCAACTGGATTCTATCAGGTGACAGGTTTCCTGTGTAATCTGGGACATGTGTCACCAGAGGTGTGTGGTTTAGCAATTAGAGATATGCAATATTTTATGATTAGTAATAAAAAATAATTAAGGACTAATTTTAAATATTTAAAATATTTATATTCATTAGGTTCTTTTGTTTTCCTAAAAAGTTTCTTAGAGTTCTGATTTGTTGTAAAGATGTTGACTTGATTTACATAGCAACTTAGTGCAACATTCTAAAATTTGTGGCATTTACTCAATCTTTTCCTGTGCTTTTTTTTTTCTTTTATGGAGAAAATGTACTTAATCCAACAAGAGTACAAGTGGAAGACAAGGAAAAGGAGGGAAAGTCTGGGAGAAAATGCATGTGAGATGAGCTTACAGTTAAAAGTGGGAGGTAGGCAGTAAATGAAGAAGTTTTCAAAACTGAAAATATCTACTACTTGGTGAAGCCACTGGTTACAAGTGAAGCAGTAAAAGTTTGAGGAAAGATTCAAAGTTTTGGAGAAGTCATGAAAGCATGGTAAAAGAGATGAAGAAACATACTTCTGTATAAATTTTTATGACAGCAGTGTACGTTTGCACTACCAGTGTAAAACATGGGGAATGTAAAGCAATAGTCTAAAAAAGGCACTTAGTTCCTGAGCTGGATACATGTCCTTATCTCCATAGAGATCATCCAGAACCTATCTACATAACTTGAAGCTTCAGAGCCAGCAAAAGTCCCACTGGGATCCTCTCAGCACAGCAAAACAGAGCCAGCCTGAAAGGTTAGGAGTATCTGATTCCACTGCTGCTGGGGTGGGGGTGGGGGTTCAACTAGCCAATAGTGTTTACTTCTGGCCATTAAATCCATTCCAACCCAGAGAAGATCTGGAAGGCTCGTAAAATTATATTTGTCTTGCTGCTAAAGACAAATAGGGAATCTTCTTCCAGCTGTGGGAAAGGGATCCAGGTTCTATTTTGACATCTGCAATAAGTGGCAACAGCAGAAAATTCCATGGCTGGCCAGAGTTCCTCATTATATTGCTATTTTAAGATAGATCTAAAGCAACATTATTGATTTCTTGAGATATTATTATTATTTTGGTACTGGGGATTAAACCCAGGGATGCTTAAAATATTGAACCATATCCTCAGCTCTTTTTTTACTTCAAGACAGGGTCTTACTAAGTTGCTCAGAGCCTCACTAGTGAGGCTGGCTTTGAACTTGCTATCCTCCTGCCTCAGCCTCCCAAATCACTGGGATTACAGGCCTGCACCACTATACCTGGCAAATTCTTAAGAGCAAAGTAGATAGAAAGATGCCACTAACAAATGGAAGAACACTGAATAATCAAGATTCTTCTCTTGATAAAGGAAACAAATTCAAGATGGAAGGCCAAGAATCAAAATGAAACTGTCCATACTGATTGCATAGTATTAATTATGAAAAGGGCTAGATTCAAATTTGAGCTTTAGTACTAAATTTTTTAAACTACAGTTGGCTCATTTTTAATGGGGAATAATAAGATCTACTTCAGGTAGTCTTTGTGACATGTAATTGAGATAAAAATTAATGTACAATTTTTTGCAATATTAATTAATGTGAGATTTTTCTCTTTCTGAACTTCTCAAGGTCCTTTGTGTACCCTTTTCTTGGGGATTATTTATAAGGAGAAAAGCAATTATTGAAAGACAAAAATGTGGGGGCTGGGTTGTGGCTCAGTGGTAAAGTGCTGGCCTCGAAAGTGCGAGGTTCTGGGTTCGATCCTCAGCACCACATAAACATAAATAAATAAAATAAAGATGTGTTCAACTACAGCTAAAAAAATAAAATATTTTTTTATTTTATTTTATTTTATTTTATTTTATTTTATTATTGGTAGTTCAAAACATTACATAGTTCTTAATACATCATAATAAAATATTTTTTAAAAGACAAAAAGGTTTTCTGTGTTTTCCAAAGCTTCAACTTATCAAGGAGATTGTCTTGGGGGAGTGGAGAGGATAGGAAGGTAAGTGGGAATCCTTTCAGGGAAAGAAACATGAATAGAGAGTAAGTGGATGTACATCAAGTTTATAAAAGAAATAAAGGCAGTTCCATGAGGATGGAAACTACTGTTCTTCTGGTGGCTGGGTTTCCACAGGTGAGAGGTACATAGGGGAAATTGAATGCTAATACTGCTATCAGCCCTGGTAAATTTAACTGCCCAAAAGGAGGTGGTATGGCAAAAGCGTATTTCCGAGGGACTAAAGAGTTTGGGTAATTAATATCTCTGTGGTGGCCCATGTGAACCAAAACCCAGAGAGTTCTCCAATTATGTTTCTCTTGATAAGACCTATGGGACCTTTTGTATAACTCATTGGATGGGAAGGTATCTTTGCCTGTTTTTCCTTGAAATCACAGGTTAAGAGAAGAACTTAGATGCAGGTAATTTATTTGGGAAATAATCCTAGAGAGCAAGAGTTTGGGAAAGGAAATTAGGAGAAGTTAATAGAAGGTGTATTATTGAGTTGGTTACTGTCATGGACTCAAATCAAAACTGTCCATCAAAGGAAATAGGAGAAAATTACTTATTTATCTACTCCTACCTGCTATGAGTTGGGTTATTAACACCTGTAGTTTGCATATATGTTAAATGCTGAGTAGGCACCTATGGATAATCACAGCAAATCATCAGAGAATGCTGAGGTAGGAAGTGAGAGAAAGAAGGCAGAGTTTGAAGTGAGGTGCTGTCAGTGCAAAGAGGGTAGAACTCTGAAAGGAATTTTGCATGACTGGAATCAGATTTGAGGCCTAGAGGATGTGCAGTTGGGTTCCAGGTATCATAACAGCAAGAGAGGCTCAATAATGACTAAGCATTAAGAGGCATAAAAACTTTAAAAAATTATTTTCCTCCTAATTAAAAAAGTCATACAACCATTTCTGGAATAAAAACTAATTTTATTTGATTAATTGCAAGTGGAATTTTCTTGATGTATCTTTACTTGTAGTCTAAGATTTATTTTCACTGCTGCAACATGATGCCTAACAGGCACGTTAAAACTAGGTTATTTGCCGTTGTTTAACAAAGTTAGTTGCCTTCCTCTTCACACATCAATATATATGTACATGCAGGCACACATATGTATACACACCCCTAAAGAATAAGAGGAAAAGTTCCATTGTGAGTTTGTACTTGTGTAATGTTAGCATTTGGCTCCAAACCTCCAAGAAACTGACTGAGGGTGTTTCCCTCCAACCAAAATTGCTGGTTTAGAGATTGACCAGTACCTCATTCATTATTCTGCAGAAAATCATTATAAGGAATATTATTCCATTCAAAGCACAGCTTCTCAAACTTTAATTTGTATATAAATCACTCAAATAGATAATTATCTTACTTCTCTGCTTCTTTGTGTTTCCCTTTACCACTTATCTTCTAACATACTACATATATAACTTGTTCATGTTTATTGTTTGTCTCACCCACTATAATGTAAGCATCATGAAGGCATGGATTTTTTGTTTATTTGTATGCCTGGCTCATACTAAAACTCAAAGAGTAAGTGAATAGTGAAAATAATTCCTCAAATGAATTACATTTTAAAACACATCAAGCATTCTAAAGAGTGCCTGTGGAATATCAAAATAAAATAACACTGGGTACTCTTGGATTCTGAAAACATGGCCAGATTAGATATTCTTGAATGTGACCTCTTCTGGCTTTCAGTTAATTTAAACAGGTTTGTTGAATGATTAGTTCATGATATAGTAATGAATAATTCCCAAATACCTATAATTTMAGAGGACATTTATTTCTTAATCATGCTACATGTCCACTCTGGGTCAGCAGCAGGTCTCTGCCCACTCTGGTTACTCAGGATCCCAGACCGACAAAATAATTACAGTATTGAATATTGTCAGTCAAAGGGAAAGAGAACTCTGGAAGATGTGACACCAACAATTAAATGCTTAGGCTATAAGAGATTCATGTCACTCTTGCTGACCCAATCATTTGGCCCCACCCACTTATAAGAGGGCCAGGGAAGCTCAATCCTTCCGTATGCCCAGTGTATGGCAGAGACTAAAATACTTGGTAAGTCCTTCCTATTGCCATTTCCTCACAATCTGCAATGTTAACTGTCCAGTTAGTTTATTGTTCCATAATTCCCCTCTCCTAACTGGCAACAGAATCTTCACAGTGCCCTCTAGTGGTACTTAGAGCTACCGCATTAGTTCTCTAGAGAACTGAATTCTGAAACTGCTAGAGCTGAGCTTAACCCCGCTGGAATGAATTAACAGCATCGGATAGTCCAGTTAGCCCAACTTTGTAAGCCTAATAAAGGTATGCTGGCTAAACCCTAATTCTTCAATACCACTTTCTCAGGTACTCTGTGGTATATCTTTTCTTCCTGGCAAGACTATCCAAATTTCAAGTATTTAAGATACAAAATCCAACATTTTTTCACTGTATAAATGGTTTTTATTGCATAGAAACTCTGTCTTCAATAAACTTTCTCTTCTTTTAAAGTATATAAATATCATGATGAAGCCAAAACGTTATGTAATTCCTGAAGTCTATCTGCAAACTCAACTGGAATAATGATTTTTTAAAAATTACTAGAATGACAGGATTTGTTTCTGAGGGAAACATAATTTCACGTTTCTGGTCTCTTATTATTGCTTTCTAACTGGAATCCATGAACCCTTGGCTACAACAGTATTTTCATATAACTAGTTTCCTTTATAATGGTATGTATTTTATTTTATACATTTGAAATCATTAACCGGAAGAGGGGTCCAAAACTTCAACAGTCTGCAAAGGAGTTACTGGCATGTTAAAATCTATATATAAAGCAAGTTCTACCAGTATGAGGAAACATTTAAAAATCTAACACATGGTGGTGCTATTGCTTTAAGAGTAAGGAAGAGTAAGGCAAACTGGTTGAATAAGAATATAAATTTCTTCAGAAAAGCTTGAGGAACCCTAGTGGTGATGTGGTCACAGAAAGTTACAGTGGTTTTAAATCTTTAGAAATTTTATGAATTCTTAGCAGATAAAATACAAATTCATTAACTAAGATAGTTTGGTCTAATATATAAAATATAAATAGATATGGAWTTTACCAAAACAATATGTAACCAAAAACAGTAAGTGTTTGAGGACTTATTAGCCAATCAATTCCTTAAACATTTATTGTACACGAGATTATGGATTTTCTTTAATACACAGATGGCTCACGCACTTCAGTGCATACTTCACATGCACCGAATTCCAGCCTGGTATAAACATGATGATTAACATGGCAAGTTCAAAAGTGAAAGAACAACTCCTGAATAGGAACTGATTATCAGTGATGGAAATTGCACAAAGAACCAAGGAACCAACATAATATAGAGCTGGTTATACTGGCTAAAATAACATTTACTTACAGATGAAATGATTTACTTATAAGAATGGGGAGAAAGTGGTAGTGGGTAGTGGTAGAGATCAAATCAGATGACCATATGATAATTGTTAAAGCAGCGAATGAGTAAATAGGAAATCCTTAAATAATCTCTGTATTTTTGTATATATTTGAAACTCTTCATTAAAAATAAAATTAACATATTCATAAAATAACACTGCTAAAGGGTTGAATTTTTGGTGATCAGTTAGGTGTGTGAGAATATACACCAACCAGAGGAAGGTATAATACTGAGTCAATCCCCCAATTAGATTTGTGTTGTCTTCCCCCTTCCCCCGCCCCATAAGGAAAAGATTTTGCAACATTGTTCTGTAAGATCTAAAAAATAGTTTTTTAA